CTAGGGAACAGGGATATATCTCATATGCTTGATTTTATGGACTGTCATTTACACCTGCCACAAAAATATTAAGAACCCACCATATACAGGAATCCTGCCAGGCTAACTTGGAGTGGGAAATGGAACAGTCATGGTTAGCCAAGGCATTTGCAGTCTGGTAAGAACAAACATGAATAAGGGTAGCTTTCATTAATTACACACGCTTGTGCCCGGCTGGTGTGGCTCAGTGGTTGAGCATCAACCTATGAACCAAGAGGTCACAGTTTGATTCCAGTCAGGGCACATGCCCAAGTTGTGGGCTTGATCCCCAGTAGGGGGTGTGCAGGAGGCAGCTGATCAATAATTCTCTCTCATCATTGATGTTTCTATCTCTCTCTCCCTTCCTCTCTGAAATCAATAAAAATATATACACTGAGTGGCCAGATTATTATGACCACCTGACGTTTGTAGGCAAATTAGCTATAATTTCGCGCTGAAGTTGCTAGAGGGCCAGACCATTATAAATAGGGAAGCAGGTTGTTTACCACAACAGAAGTGATTTTTTTCTGAAGATATGGGTAAAGAACGCAATTTAACAGCCTTTGAACGTGGAATATACTTGCTTTGCAGTTATAATGAAGAGGCTATATATATATATATATATATATATATATATATATATATATATATATATTTGCCTTCAAAGGCTGTTAAATCGCGTTGTTTACCCATATCTTCAGAAAAAAATCGCTTCTGTCATGGTAAACAACCTGCTTCCCTATTTATAATGGTCTGGCCCTCTAGCAACTTCAGCGCGAAATTATAGCTAATTTGCCTACAAACGTCAGGTGGTCATAATAATCTGGCCACTCAGTGTATTTTTTTAAATTACACACACTTGTTGCACAGCTTGTGCCACACTGTAAGTGGTTCGCATTTAATGGGATCTGCCTCTCCACAACAGGGCTCCAAGGTTCAGAGGAGGCACGGGGCTTGGCTAAGGATGCTCACTAGTAATTGGTAGGACGTGGATATGAACCAAGGGACACCTGCCTCCAAGTCCATTTTCATTCCTGAAGTAATGACCCTCCCATGGAGAGGCCAACATGAGTGCTGTCCTTTGATAACCCAACATCCATTGGCCCTTGACTTTGGCTCATTTTTCTGAGTTGGGGTGGGCGTACGTCAAACCAATCTTCTCTAACTTGGTGCTCAGTGCGTCCGCTGGCAGGTGACTGGCCAGGAAGCTGAGGTTGGATAGGAGACACTGGCCAAGTTGGCCATGTTGTTGAGACTCATAGCCTTGCTGTATCAAGTGCGTCAACTAGATGCTCTGAACAATCCAGATTTTTATTTCCATTCACACCATCTTTATGTCCAGCAAAGAAGTGACACATCTGCTTCTGGGTGGAAATCTCCACTTTTCTATTTATGTGCAAAAGGAAGAATTTGGTTATTTGCAAAATGGAATTTTTTTTTAATAGGGAAAAACCTCATAGAGATGTTTTGCTTTGAGATGTAGGCTCTTAACTTGGTGCCTAAGAAACTATTTTAAATTCTTGTATGAAGCTTCCTAGAAACAATCAAAGGAAAATAAGCTGGTTCTGGTAACGAAATATTAACAGCTTTTTCTGAAGCATTAATCTACTGAACAAATGTTGAGAATGAAAGAAGCAGGCATATTAATGCTGTGAGAGCCATGATTTATACATTTTCTATTGCTGCTTCTGCCATTTGATCCTGGAAAAATGACCAAAACAAATTTAAAATCTCAAAGGGAAACATATTGAGCCATAGAGAGAAGTAAAAACACAGAGAAATCAAACTTATAAGGGAACCACTGAACTTGCATCTTGTCATATGCAAACTGGACTGCAGAGCTGAGGACCCGCAGGAATCGGTTGGTCCAATGACCCTTTTTGAGATTCCAGGAGGCTAAGTGACTTGTCCAATGTCATGTGTTCATTAGAACACATAATATTATTGTTTCAACCAAATGGAAAGGGCACTGACCTAGGAGTGAGAAGGCCTCGCTTCTACTTCCCACTCAGTCATTAATGAGTCACTCTGTTTATAAAGTAAGTGCGAGATTAGATGGTTTTTGAAAATCCTTCCCTCTCTGAAGGGACTATAATTCTGTGAACATGAACATCAGTAGTTTTTGTTGTTCTTAGAAACTCGATAACTTGCTTTGCTGTTATAATGAAGAGGCAGTATGTATGGAGCTATGAGTGTGGGCTCGAGGGCCAGGCGTCTGCCTCGCAATCCCGTCTCTCTTGTTTACTTGTGGTGAAGCCTGAACAAAGCACTCCACTATCTGCCTCATCTGCAAAGTGGAGGACGTGACAGTTCCCACGACACACGGCCCTGACGACGATTAAATGAAGTAACGCCGAGGACTCAGCACAGTGCGCAGCACACAGGAAGTGCTCAGGGACGGAGCGCACCATTAGCAGTATCAGAGCGAAAAGGAACGGAGTCGGAGTCTGTGTGTGGGTATCAGAAGGCATCCCTTCGTTTGGACAGAAGCAACCTGAGTGCTAAGGCGGGCGGGATCGCAGGCTTGTGGCTGAGTCTCGCTTTTAAAAAAGAGAAACCATTTCCCAAACTCCCTTCCTGAGGTGGCAGCTACTCTCGGTGCGTGTTACCATGCAGGGCGTTAGAGGCTCAGAGGGCTGCTTGGAGGCAGGCACACTTTTGCTCTCTCCTTCCTTTTCCTCATTTCTGCCTGGAATGCAGAAGCAATGGCTGAGGTGCCAGCCACCTACGGATCATGTGGAAGGGCTAACGACTTTCACAGACTCTGTTCTTGACCCAATAGTTTAATGCCAGCAATCAGTGATCTCCAGACTTATTTCATGAGAAAAAATAAACTTAAACATTAATAAACATTTTTAGCTACTATTATCAAAATGCAATCCTATCCAAAATACCCTCCAAAATTGATTTCTCTTTTCTGTCAATAAATATTTGCAGACCTGCCCAGTCGGCCACTTGCCCCTAGCCACTTAGAGGTGCTCAGTGAGACTGCTATTGGCTGTCACTTACATTTTTGCAAAATGTCCACACTGTCCTCCAAGTCCTTGCTACTCAAAGTGTGACCTGTGGGACCGCGGCATTGACGTCCGAGGAGCGGGTTAGAAAGGCAGGTCTCCGCTCTGTCACAGGGGAGTCCGTGTCTGCACTTGCAGAGTCCCCCTGCGCTCTGTGCACTGGGAAGCCTGAGGCTCAGCCACACCCCCCAGGCTCTGCTGTCATTCCTCGGGCAGCACTGCCAAGACCATCTTCCTGAGCAAAGTGCAGTCATGTAGGGGCCCCGTCCTGCCGCGGCTGAAGGTGGGGCTTTGTAAGCCGGAGCTCCAGGCCTCCTACAAGCTGTGTTGTCCTGGCAGTGCCCATCCAAGCGCTTGCCATGCACAGAGTAGGAGGCAATAATAAAGTTCTATTCCTTAAGGCTGGCTTCACCGTGTCAAGCATTTGGGCTACAGTGCAAGAAACAGACATGGTCCCTTGCCTCATGGAGCTTGGAGACTAGTTGAAAGGTAAGATTTTTAAAATAAACTAAAATATGTAATGATAAATTATAAGTGCTATGAAGGAAATGAACGGGCAGTGATAGAGTAAGACAGACTGGTCACAAGGATGGCTCGGCCCTGGCCGGTGGCTCAGTGGTTAGAGCCTCACCCACCGGCCTGGACTAGCGAGGTCAGACCCAGTGAGACTCAAGCGCCAGCGCCTCGCTCGCGGACTCCCCACTCCCTTGACCTGCAGACTCCTGCCTGCCGAGGCGCGCAGCGGGGTGAGGCTGGAAGCAGCTGCGCTGTCCCTGGGAGCATCGCTGTGCACGCAGCGAGCCGCCTGTGAGCCCCGAGTCTGCCGCCCCCTCGGCGGCGCCTGGGAGCTGGCGCTTGCGTGACCGTGATGATCACAGCCCTTAATTATCATTCGCTTTCGGCAGAAGCTCATCCCAGATACTCCTGCCCCGCGAGCCTCCCGATGCATGACGTCCTGCTAACCGAGCGGGGAAGTCAATGTGAACGGTGTGAGGCAGAC